ATTGATATCAATTACTGTATAAACAAGTGATTAGTATATCGTTTGGCATTGAATTCATCGATACTCTCGTCAGTGAATGCAGTATTGGTTTCATAGCAGACATTGACTGCCGTTTTCACCACTCATTCAAATCAAATCAATTGATGATTGAATTTCTTCTCCAAAAGTGCCGACAAAATGACTGAAGAATTTGTGGTAATTATTGTCTTTTCAATTGATTTTAATACTAATCTTATTATTTATTAAATCATAAAATTGTCTTAATTTTCGTAACATATGTCAGAAGAGTTTGAATAAAAGTTTTTTTAAATTTAAAAAACTAAAATAAATTGTAAAATAAAAGTTTTTTACAATCAGTGTTGATTCAATGATATAGTGCATGTGAAGGCAAGTGCTTCAAAAAAGGCTTCAAAAATAAAAAATAGCCCTATGTTATTCATACAATATTCATATTCATGTTCCCTTTTCTGCCGTCTCATGATATAGTGTTATCAAGGTTATTTTAGAAAATTGTATTTTAAGTATTTTTAATTTAGCAAATTTAATGCCATTTATTGTGAAATCCATTAATTTTTTATTTACGATTTTACTTTCAATTGTTTCCTTACTTTTTATTACAATTAAAAAGTTTTTTCAAACTTTTTTTCACTCAGAAATGGATTGAAAGCAAAAATCTTGAAATTTGCGATAAAGTCAATGAAATCTCAAATAAAGACACAAACGATTCAATTGTATTAAGCGGTGATCCGTTTAAGACACCAGACATACGAGTATATCACTCGAAACCGTCTATAATTCAATTGATTGTTAACAACAAAGTCAATGATCTGATCAAAACTCAAGGCAATAATGTCTTTAAATGGTTTAATGACATTAAACTAAGGAAACAAGTGATTCAACGAATCGTCGATCTCTTAAACGGATCAACCGATGATTTGCAAGTCTTGGAATTCAGTACATCTGACACTACAATCAAAGTCTTTAAAAATCGTGTCCAGAATTTACTTAAATGTCTGAAGTATGCCATAAGGAATCAAATATTCAATTATTCAAACGAAACTCATTTTAAAACTATTAAGCCTTCAATTGTAACGATCTTTGATTCGCAATCATTTTTGCTTAAAGTAATCAATGAAGTGATTCCTTGCCTTACAAGCGGTGTTCCCATAGTATTGGTAACTGACGGCAAAGCAGCGATTAATGCTTCATATCTATTAGATTTATGCTCTAAAGCGGGTCTCGAGTCGGGTGTCATTCAATTGGTTATAGCGGACAACAAGAATGTTGAAAATCTGACCAAAACTACTAAACCATTGCGCGCTCCCATATATGCAGTCTTTGAATCGGGAGATATCGAGTGTGCGATCGATGCGATCATCAATTCCTATATCAATGACACTAACGATTCCGTCAGTGTTTTTGTTCAACAATCCATTTACAAGAAGTTTTGCGAACAAATGAGGACTCGTTTATCAAATTGCATCGAAACCGGCGACAGATTGAGTCCTAACGCAGATATTATCTCAAATATTAATGTCAATTACGATGGAATCGATTTCGACAACGAAAACAAATCCTTTGATTTCCAAGTTTTCAAATTCCGTACTAACGATGAGCTCAAGAATTTGATCAATCATTTCAACGAAATTGCTTTCATTTCTTTGTGGGCAGAGAAGACTTCTTTAGCCATTGAATTCGCAACTCTTCTCACTTCGAGTGCAAATGTTTACATCAATAGTTCACTTAAATATCCCATAAAAACTGAAATCTGTTTATTGGATAAAGTTGTCGACAAAATGGATTTGAAATCTCTCTCAAAACAACAGAAATCGATTGAATCAATGATTGCCTCAAATAATAAGTATGTTTTATGCGATTATTAAGCTATTAATGATTAATTAAATTTATTTTTTTCAGATGGAAAAAAGTTTGTGAAGAAGAAAGAGAAGAACTTATCAACAATTATATCAGTTATGAGAGCTCTCTTACAGACTCTCATCATTTGTCTAAATTGCAGAGTTTTAATCAACGAATCGTCGAAAGCAAAGACAGTAATGGCATTCAATTATCAATTACTCGTTTGGAAGCAATCGGTTTAATCTTCATTAAAATTGGCGATAAATTTGACGGCAAAATATTATCTACTGTTTTAGAAGCACTCATTTCCGGCAATTCTGTACTGATTTCAGGAAATAATGCCAACAAATTGCCAGAATTTCTAAATCTTCAACAATATCTACAATCATCTGGTAATGACATCTTCCACTTCATTGATGAAATGGACACTCAATTAGAAGGAAATGGTGTCTTAACTCTGGGCTCAAACGTTGTCGGACTTTATTTACAACAATTGGATGATTTGTGCCAAAAATCATTCGTTAAATTTGGGAAAACCATTACTTTATCATTTGGTGACATAAGTTTCGGAAAGTAACAGTACTTTACAATTAAATCTCAATTAATTTACACAACGATTAATATTTGTAACTTAACAATAAATCTCAAAATCTTTATTCAAAGCATTTCTTATAAGTTATAACAAAAACTAGAAATAAGACTAGAAATAAAAATTTCCAAAAAATGTTTTATCCAACAATTATCTCAAGAGTTATAGTAATAAATAACACTTTGTTTTAAGCACCAGTTGTATCAATCATTGTATAACGTATTTTTATGTGCATATTATTGTCACCGATTGGAAGTGATTTAAATAATATTTGGTAAATGAGTCGAAATATTGATAAATATATCTAAAGAATAAAATATTTATAAAACGATATCAATTTTGAGGATCGGTTGCATTAATCGTTTCGCTCTCTTTGGACTCAACGCTGGAATCGATTGGAGAAAATTGGGTCAAAAGAAGATTCTTATCGTTCTTAATGGCGGCAATGGTTTCCTCCAAAGAGATCAACTCTTTAGACACTTTTCTGAGAGACGCCGAAACGTTTTGAACCATTTTTTGCGAATGAATTAATTGTTTAGTTATAGTCCCGACCTCTTTGGTCGCCATAATATAGGGACCGCTCGCCAGTTCTGACAGCTCTCTCTTCAGCTGTTCGTTCTTCTCTCCTAACCATTCAATTCACACATCATTACAACAAATCAAACACTAATTCAAATGTCTCTCCAAATGCAAGACTTACTTAATTTCTTGTGAAGTAATCTGTGATTAAAGGCAAACACAATATGTATTAATATTACCAATACTTTTCAATTCATATCTAATGTCAAACAAATGCTTACGAATTGTATTTATTTGAGTCACCAATGGATGAGTTGTCGTCCGAAACGGTCGACCTCTGGGACTGACCTATCATTCAAACCAATCAATCAATTAATGAGTCAATAAATTCACATAAAAGAGACAACAAATTCAGTACTCATTTCGGATGTCTTTCGATGTCTGCCGACTCCGTGATCGGCGGCACTGGTCTGGCGTTCAATGGGTTGCGGATAATCGTCCTCTTCTTCGTCAGACTCTGAGGCCTCGCCGGGAGTTATGATTGCGTTTAGGCTTACGTTTGATCGCAATTCCTGTCCATTAAACCAATCAATCGTTCAATTAATCCAAAAAAATACAAAACAAACAATTCATTCACTCAACAGCTGTTATGTTGTCCACAGTTTTGTCCATCGCTTCATCAGTTGTGGCGCTCATTGTCTCTCACTTCTTGGGATCCGTTGAGCAAAAAAAGTATAGTTTGATATCAATTAACAGATAATGAGTGCGAAAACCAAATGTCAATAACAAAAACAAAAGTCAATGTTTTGGGCGATTGTTTTGACAACAAGACTACAGTCAACACCCGTTATAAATACGATGACATTTGTGTTAACATTACAGCGTTTAGACTGTAGTTGAATGACAAACACAACTATTTTTTGCGATTCAAAGCCAGTGTTTATTCAAGTATTTGACGAGAGATTAACACAAATCGCAAATCACTTTCATTTGCATTAAATTTAAATTACTGTAAAAATCAAACTATATTTCGTCCCCCACTTTGCGCTCACAAATGACGTTACGCTAAATCGAGGCGTTGTTTACCAAAATAAGAACTCTAGTCGTGAGGGGTTTGCGCTTAAAATAGCGTTGAATGACTCCAACGATGTGACAAAAGGGGAGTATAATTGCTATTATAAAGCGTAACAGTATTTGAGTGCGAAGTCATTGTATAATAACTTGTGTTGAAATGTTATCTTGAAATACATGTAAACAACTGATAACTGAATACCAATTAAATGATTGAATCAAACAAATGGGTTGTAATTTAGTAGCAATTGTTGATTAATCAGCTATTTTTGCGATACTTAATACACTTGTTATACTCAATACATCCGTCCATTCATTACAACTGACGCCACACGAAGACATAGTCATCGCGAGTGCGGATCAAATCCAGCCCTAAATCTGTTGACCAAACTTTGCCTTTAAATTGTTGTCAACGAAGAAAACAAATGTTGAAAACAATTATATGTTTGGTTTTGTGTCTGATTTTGTTACCAGAGGTTTGTATTCATGTCTCAAATGTATGTCTATTATCGCAAAACTAAACTTTGATTTTCTTTTTTCAGTGCAAATCTGCGGCCAATAACTGCTTATTTCGTGGCAAATGCGGTGAATGCGATGACTGCACGTACGGACAGTTCCCCATACCATGTCTTGTGGACGAACCGCCCGTCCATCTGGACGAAGAACACGCGGATCAGTTGAAACAATTGGCGCCCGAACTCTTCACAGGTTTTTTTGATTGATTTCTAAATGAATGCCATTTAAAAGTGTATTAACTTTGAGACTTTGGGTATCGTTTAAGACGCGGATCCAGTGTTTTGTTGCGACGAACAACAGGTGACGGATATCATCGCCCAAACAGGGTTTGCCGTCTTCACGAAGCGCTGTCCCTCTTGTTTCGTGAACTTCGCCAAAATCTTTGTCCACATGTCTTGTAATCCAAATCACTCGCAATTTCTGAAAGTGACGGGCAGTAAGACCGCCCAATCGGATCCCAACAAACTAATGCTCACGCAATTGAGTTATTACATGTCCGACAACTACGCGAACGGCGCCTACAACTCATGCGTTAACGTCCAGTTCCCCTCAGCGGGCTCTACGGTTATGCAGCTGTTGTGCGGCATATACGGGGCCGCCGACTGCAGTCCCGCCCGTTTCCTGGAGAGTCTGGGCGCTGTCCACACCTCTCCTTTTGAAATCAACTTTCATTTATCCGAAAGAACGCCTGAAAGTGAGATGAATGTGAAACCTGTCGGCTGTAATGAAGTGCCAAAAGGTTTCTCAAATCAGACGTGCAGTTGTGCCGACTGTCCCGTCAAATGCGATCCCAAACCTTATCCAATGCCAGTTAAGCCGTGGATCATATGGGGAGTGGACGGCATGTGGCTTATTATGGGATTTGTTTATTATCTAATAGTTGTCATCATTATTGGAGTTTTTATATTTAATTATTACAAATCAACATCAGGTTTGTGTTTATTAATAACATATTATTTATTTAATTGTTTTATTTCCATTTTTAAGGACATATTCTTTTGGTCCCCAATTTTGACGATGATTTACCAAATGAAACACTTTTAGAGACCAAACCATTACTGTTTACGAGAATAACAGACAAATTGCTTACTATTGGGTCTAAATTTGATCACATAATCCGAACCGGATTTAAAAACTATGGTGTCTTGTGTTCCCGAAAGCCGTTTACATTTATTCTCCCAGTGATAGGCGTTGCGTTAGCGTTGGGTCTATCGGTTGGCGTTTTGACTCATTTTACTCCAATGACAGATCCGGTGAGCCTATGGTCTGCACCCAATAGTCGAGCGCGAACTGAGAAAGACTTCTTTGACCGACACTTCAATCCTTTCTATCGAATTCAACAAATAATAATCCATCCGAAGACGGAGTCGTCTATAATACATATCAATCCCAACAACTCATCGCAAACCATAACATTCGGTCCGGCATTCAATAAGGACTTTCTGTTGCGAGTCTTAGAATTGCAAACAAAAGTGACTAATATTACAGCTAAAGTCAACGGACAAGATGTGGTCTTAACTGATCTCTGTTTCGCTCCCATGAAGAACAATATCTGCGCCATTCAGTCACCTCTCGGTTACTTTCAGAGCAAAGCCGCTAACATTGACAAAATAGTGAATAAATACAATTATTTGGACCACTTTTACAGTTGTCTGAAGAACCCGACGCTTCAGAACGACACGGAACTATCGATGAGCTGTTCGGGCAGTTATGGCGGACCCGTATTTCCAAATGTGGTTTTTGGTGACTTTTCGGGCAACAACTACAAGAGTGCCCGCTCTGTAGTGATCACAATAATGCTCAACAATCACATCGATAAGAAGGATAATATACCGGCGATGGCGTGGGAACAGCTATTTCTTAATTTATTGCATCAGTACAATACTTCAGATTTTAATATCGTTTATTATTCTGAGGTATTTTTAAATGGTTTTATTGTTTTGTTTGTATTTTTTAAATGACATTATTTATTTGTATTAGCGTTCGCTCGAAGACGAGTTGGACAGACAAAGCAGATCCAGTCTCGTGACGATTGCCATTAGTTATATCGTTATGTTTGTCTATATCTCTATAGCTTTGGGTCGTTTCACTTCAGTTCAAAGACTTTTTGTGAGTATTTGTCCCAATCGTAGAGACGAGTAAAACATGTTTTATTTTCTAACCATAGATCGATTCGAAGATTATATTGGGTTTATGCGGAGTGATTATTGTGTTGCTATCAGTGACCGCATCCATTGGTTTATTAAGTTTCTTAGGCGTTAAATCAACACTAATTATAGTGGAAGTCATACCATTCCTAGTACTGGCCGTTGGCGTCGATAATATATTTCTTTTGGTTCAAAACCTTCAGCGCCAAGAGTTTAGAGCAGACATTCCAGTGGAGCAACGGTTTGGCACAGTTCTCGAGAGTATTGCGCCCTCTATTCTATTGGCCACTATAGCCGAGTCGTCGTGTTTTTTCTTGGGTGCGCTCACAGATATGCCCGCCGTTCGGGTGTTCGCACTAAACGCCGGTTTAGCCCTTTTAATAGCATTTGTCTTACAAATGATTGTTTTCATACCACTGCTTGTGTTCGACACGTATAGACAGTTAAACAATAGGTATGAGTTGTTGTGTTGTTTAAAGTTATCGAAACGACACGACTTGGAGGAAGAGCCCGAATCGGATAGCAATGGACTGCTTTATAAATTTTTTGAACACATATACGCGCCATTACTCATGAAGGACTATATAAGACTACCAGTTGTAAGTTTTACAGCAAATTATGTGATTTATATGTGTTTTTAATGGTTTAAATTAAAATGTTAAGATAATCGTATTCTTGGGCTGGTTCTGCACGTCAGTCGCAGTGATCAATAAGTTGGATGTGGGTCTCGACCAACAGCTCTCAATGCCCTCCGATTCGTATTTATTGCCTTATTTTGAGGCACAGACCAAATCATTAGGCGTCGGACCACCGGTTTATTTTGTGGTCAGATCTGATTTCGATTACGCGCACAAACAGAAACTCATTTGCAACTCTGCCGGCTGTTCGGCCAACTCATTGGGCGCTCTTCTCACCGACGCCTCAAAGCATCCGAACCAGACGTTTATCGCCGGTTCCGTTGCCAACAATTGGGTCGACGACTATATCGGTTGGGCGAGCGATAAGAAGTGTTGTCGCGAGAAAGAGACCAAAGACGGACCGGCCTTTTGTGACTCAACGGAGAGTATGTCTTAAATATATGAATTTTGTTTTGCAATGTATTGATGTGTTTGGTGTCTGAATGCAGAGAATCCCAACTGTACTTATTGTAAAGGTTTGTACGATTCCGAGATCGAAGCGGAGATATTTCCCGATATGTTTAACCACTCGTACCTTAATCAGTATCTGAATGATATTCCCAACGCCTTTTGCTCTAAAGGGTATTCAACTATTTATATAGTGTTTATAAATTTACTGACAATATATTTGCCTCCAAAATAGCGGAGGGCCCGCCTATGGTGCAGCTGTTGATTGGTTGTGGGGGACAAACCAAACTGATCATAACCAAACTCATCATATGAACGATACAATTCTCATTAAAGGTATGATTGATTAAAATGTGTATTTTGTATATTTTTAATTTAATCGTTTGTTATGTTTTACTCTTTAAAAGCGTCGTCTTTTAGTACATATCACACGGTTATGAGGAGTTCTCACGATTTCATATATGCTCTCAAAAACGCCCGAATTTTGGCCGAGAGTTTGACTCAATCGATAAACGCCGACAATAAAGCGGACGATCATTACGTGGAAGTGTTTCCCTACAGTATATTCTATGTATTCTATGAACAATACTTGACGATATGGACGGATACCATCACGAATCTGGTTATCACTATATCAGCCATATTTGTGGTCACATTTATATTCTTGGGATTCGATTTGATATCATCGTTGATAGTCATAGCGATGATTGTGGCCATTGTTGTAAACTTAATGGGATTCATGTTTTGGTGGAATATATCGCTGAACGCCGTCTCTCTGGTCAATCTCGTGATGGTATAAAACAATACTTTTAAATGATTGCTGATATCACTGTTTCGCTTACATCTAAATTATGTTAAACTCCAACAGTCTGTGGGAATATCAGTCGAGTTCTGCTCTCATATAACGCGCGGATACGTAATGAGCGAACGGCCGACACGTGTGGAGAGGGCGGAGGATTCGTTGGCGACGATGGGCTCATCGGTGCTGTCGGGCATCACATTCACCAAATTCGGTGGAATAGCGGTTCTCGGGTTCGCCTCATCGAAGATATTTCAGATTTTCTACTTTCGTATGTATTTGGGAATAGTATTAATCGGAGCCCTTCACGGACTCCTCTTCTTACCCGTCATTCTCAGCCTAATTGGCTCACAATTAAGGCACCGATAGTTACACTCATTTTTAATTAGACAATCAAATTATATCATAATTATATATTTATATGTAAAGCACTAATCTATTTATCGTTATATTTTGCCATTTAATTAAGATTTTATAGATTTATATGTATTGTAAAGAAATCAAAACAAATAACAAAACATTTTATAAATCGATCCAAATTTATTTGATGTCCAAAAGGTTTTCACAATTAAGTTAATAATAATAAAGAGGGGAATCTTTACAACTACTTCTTAAGAGCTTCTTCTTCCTTCTGGTACGTCAGCAACAGTTCCGTCTTCTTCTGTTGCTGTCTCTCCTCACGCCTTCTTCGGGCCTCCTTTACCTTCTGTCGACGCGCTTCAGCCAAATCACTGTCAAAAGCAAACCAAACGTTTAGTTATCTGTTATTGAGTCAAACGTGTTATCACTAAATGTATACCTGAGTTGTTTGGATCTCTGTTTCTCTGTCTTCTTCTTGTGGATGAATTCCATCAAAACTCTCTTATTCTTGAAGACATTGCCCTTAGCCTTAAGGTACAGGTCGTGATACAGATGTCGGTCGATCTTCTTGTTCTCCCTGTACTTCTTGAGCAGACGCCTGAGTACACGCATCCGCCGAATCCACAGCACTTTGACCGGCATTCGGGCGTTTGCCGTACCCTTTCGTTTGCCGGGACCCGTGTGTCGGCCCTTACGGCGGGCCTCAGTGTTCTTACGCACGCGGGCTCTCGAGTGGACGGCCACTGGCTTTCGGATAATGAGTCCGTCTTTGATTAGTTTACGGATGTGTTGTCTTGAGTTTGCGTTCGCGATCTCATTGCTCTCGTTTGGATCCAACCAAACCTTATTGCGGCCGCACTTCAACACAGCCGACGCCAAACGCTTCTGAAGTCTCAAAGTACTGATCAAAACAAACAATTAGTTTAATTCAACGGTAAATAACAATTAAAAGCCGATTCAAAGACAAATCAACTCATGTATGGTTTGCATCGATATATCGATTATGTGTTCACTAATGGCTGTAAACGTATAGAAAACGTGTTTTACACACATTTCACACATTTGTCGGTTAAATACGGCCGAAGACACCGTTTGGGACCAATTGTGACACCGCGTGTGCGGACACAACACACTAATGGACGCATTAGTGGCACAATTGGTGCCAAACAAGTGCTAAATTGGGGTCAAATTCATGATAATAAGCGGTTGAAGACTCACCTCATTGTCAGCGATATGTCGGACACCAGAAAGAGAAATGCATTCAATACTCACTCATTGCCTGCAAAACGCATTGCACTTACGGTTCGCACAATCAATGACGGCATCCAATCATCCAATCATTGCATTCAATATTAAACACGCGTTTCGTTTGGTTTACGAAATCAATTGTTTTGTTGGTTTTGATTGTGTTTATCATTAAGTGATATATTATTGACTGTTAATCAACACAGGATTTCGTTTGGATTGTGTTTTGCCGTATATTTGATGTTATAATACATTTAAAAGTGAATTAAAAGTAGTGTTATATCCGGACGTCATTTACGCCAATAGTGTTTACAATAAGTTTGAAAAATAACACGACTTTTAATTGCAATCCAAATGTTTTTTAATTGGATTTAAATAAACAAAAGTTTTATTGCAAAACAAACGATGTATTCAGTGATGAAAAGTCATCGGCTTTTGGCCAGAAGTGGACGACTGGTGCAAGAGATGAGGCGTTGGATCCGTTACGAGCCTCTTGTGATCGACAAACCGCCCGATTATTACCAAACGATTGAACAGAAACTAAATGCCATTAATTATTACGAAAACGCCAACCATTTGGTCGACATCGGAGTCACCACCGACTCTGCCATAAGAGACAAGTGGTTGGATGTCATCAAAGATATCAAATCAAAGATTAGAGTCAAACAAGAGTTGGACGACGCGGACGACGAGGAAGTGGTGAAGGGTTTGGATTATAATCACATTTACAGGAAGTGGTTGTTCAGCGAAGAAGGCGTTAAAAGTACTGTCGATTTGGCCAATCATTACGCCATCTTCAGAGACCTATTCCCTGCCAGTCCTCCCCTTCAGAGCATGTCATCCATTGAAGCCTTACCTCCGAAACCCATCTATTATTTTTGGCCATTAGTGCCATTGAATGCAGAGTTTT